GTAGCAAGCAAAGAAGCTGAGTTTCTGCATGTTTGAGAGAGGTCAGATTCCATATGGGTTCAGGCCAAACTCTGATGGACGACTACAGGCTCACCGCTAGTGATCCCTACAGACCAGGCTGGGCCTGGGGTCCGACAGTCACAACTGCTGTAGTGGAACAGGATCTTTGCTTTTCATGGACCTGAAATCCAGAGTACCTCTGCATGTTAGGACTGGCCCCTTAGCTGCATCTCAGGTCATCTGGCTATTTAAGAACTCCCAATCCTCCAAAGCAGTGTTTCTTAAACCCTTTTGATGGACACTTATGGCAGGAAGTACATCTTACTTAACAATCCATATTAGTCAGGGTCCAGTCAGGAGAAAAGAAACTTAAGTAGGTATTTTTTTTTTTCTTTTTTTTTTTTTTTTTTTTTTTTGAGACGGAGTCTCGCTCTGTCACCCAGGCTGGAGTGCAGTGGCGCAATCTCAGCTCACTGCAAGCTCCGCCTCCCGGGTTCACGCCATTCTCCTGCCTCAGCCTCCCGAGTAGCTGGGACTACAGGCGCCCGCCACTGCGCCCGGCTAATTTTTTGTATTTTTAGTAGAGACGGGGTTTCACCATGGTCTCGATCTCCTGACCTTGTGATCCGCCCGCCTCGGCCTCCCAAAGTGCTGGGATTACAGGCGTGAGCCACCGCGCCCGGCTTAAGTAGGTATTTTAAGAGCAAGAATTTAGCACAGGGAATTGATTAGACAGATGTTCAAGGTCTGAAAAATTGAAAAAGGAACACTGGTGTAACACGTAGGTTATAACTGCAAGAAGCTGCTCCTGCCTACAGGGCTGGAGGTCAAAGGGAGGAGAGGAGGTTGGGGTTTGCAGGAAAGGCCCACTGAAGCTGGGGCACAGACTCCTGAAGTAGGACACTGGCTGGCTGCTGCTGCAGGTAATGCTCTGGGGCGCAGGAAGAAGACACGCGCTGAGGCTGGTTGAGATACAATAAGAAGCTGGAGACAAGTAGAAGTGCCACCAGGCGGAAAGTCTGTGGCAGGAGTGATGCTGCCAAGCATAGCAGGCCATCAGGAAGGAGCAAGTTGCTTCCCTCTCCTCCAGCCTTGTGCTCTTCCTCTGGTCCTGCTGTGCTGCCCCCACCTCTCCACGCAGATGATAAAGGAGAAATGTGGTTTGTACAATTCCAGCCCCACCTCCAAAAATCAGAGGACAGAGGGTAGGTTTGAAGCTGAAAGATGACAGCTCAATAACTGTCATACAATACTTGACCCTAACCATGCACATCCCCTCTGGATTTCATTTTCTACTGCATTCTACTTTACCCTACACTACCTTGCCTTATCACATTTTAAATATTACAAAGCTGGAAGAGACTCATCACACTGACTTCATGACCTACTAATAGGCTGTGACCCACAATGAGGAAAACTCTGTTCTAGATCTTCACGGGTAAGAGGGCCTGAGCGTTGGAATTCAGTGCTACTTACATACTGAATTCCTTCCACAGCAACAGCGACTTAAGGAATTACCTCCCAAGGTACTCTCCTCCACTGAACATGTATGGGGACCCACAGTTCTATAGGCTTCAGGGAAATTTATATCAAGGGGCTGTAAATGTCCTGTATAGTAGTAGAAAAGGGACAGCTACCAGATAAAGGAGGTTTTGCTAAGGGGAAAAGTTAAAAGAACTACCAATCGAAAACATTTATTGTGCCCTTATTATATGTAGGGTATTATGAAGGTGTTTTTGAGAATACCCAGAAATGCACGTTGGAGGAGCTTGAAATATAGTGAGAAAAGACAAAAAGCCAATGAGTAAACAATAGATGAGCAGTCACTCAGCAGTATGGTCAGCTGTCCAGGGAGTGAGATTGACAGGAAATATTCTGAGCACAGAGCAGGGTGATATGACTACTGAGCAGGAATGATCTGGAAAGGCTTCATGTGAAGGTTTGTTTTCAGACTACGTAGACCTTAGGGGGTAAGGGGCTGGCATCTCAGGAGAAGAGAACAGAAGTAACAGAACAAGTTAAGGAAGAGTAGTTCTGCTTGTGCAGTGCTGGAACTTGTGGATCAGAACTAGCAAGAGAAATTGGAGCGTCAACCATGGCCGAGGCGGAAGCTTGCAAATGGAGAAGGTGCAGTGACTGAACCTTGGCAACTATCCTCACATTTAAGGAGCAGGTAAAAGAGCTGGTGAATAACACAGTGAAGTCTGGTTGGAAAGCTCTGGAGAGATCCAAGGTCAAGGACTACCAAGGAGGGTGGTCAGCAAAGTCAAATGCTAGAGAGGCCAAGAACTCCAAGAACTGAGGAAAGACCTTAACTGTAAACCAGATGCGCTGGAAATGAGGGTGGTGGCTCTCGACCACACTGCCTGTGTGGATTAACGTGCTACTACTTTCAGCTCCATCTTTTGGATTTTCATAGGGTGTTTAACTATGACTTGAACAGGTCCAAAGTATCTGGTGAAAACAATGAACTATGGTTCACCATCGGTCCTTATTCCTTCCTACCTGTCCACAGCCATGTGAGGCATTTTAAGGCTGTGCTTCGGTGGCTTGTGGTCTTCCCTCCCGTGACTGCCCACCTCCAACTCACTGCGAAGCAACTTTTGTTTGTGTTGCTGTCATCCATTCTCAAGTGGCCTGTCCTGCTGAGCTGATTTTCTGGGATCCTGGCTTCACAAAACGAGGAGCGTTATGCACTGGGACCTTGCCTTTGCAGACTTCATCATGGCTGTAGGCTGCACTACAACTCTGGCCCGCTGCCTTGCAAAGAAAGACAAGTAACTGGTCACAAGGGAAACCAGATCAGGGATAGATGGATCCGGTGAACCTATTATCCCTACTACAAACATGTGTTCATCTGGTATAGCAGATCCGTAACATCTTCTCCAGGAGTAAAGGAGAATTTATTTACATGCTCATTACATATGCAGGGTTGTGACCAAACTGCTGCAGGTGACAGGTTCAAGTTCCTATAAGGATGTCCTCTGGCTTAATACCCAGACTTTATTCTGGACTTCATCTCTTAAGTGCTGTCATTTCTTCTGTACAAGCTATGGTTACTTTGGTTTCTTTTCTTCGACAGCAGATTCCAGCTATTATCACACAGCTTCCTCATTTATACTAAATAGAGTAAACCATCATTATGGATGTAAGAAAATGGGTTTCATAAGTGAACCCACTGTGAAGGTAAGAAGCACAGGTGTATTAGTCCGTTTTCATGCTGCTAATAAAGACATACACAAGACAGGGTAATTTATGAAGGAAAGAGGTTTAATGGACTCACTTCCATATGGCTGGGGAGGCCTCACAATCATGAAGGAAAATGAAGGAAGAACAAAGAGACTTCCTACACAGTGGCAGGCAAAAGAGCTTGTGTAGGGGAACTCCCATTTATAAAGCCATCAGATCTCACGAGACTTATTCACTACCACGAGAATGGTAGGGGTGAAACCGCGCCCATGATTCAATTATCTCCACCTGGCCCTGCCCTTGACAGGTGGGAATTATTACGATACAAAATGAGAGGTGGGTGGGGACACAGCCAAACCGTATCAACAGGTCATGTACCTAAGCTGCTTAATATTTATTGAGCAGTGACACTGTGGACTGAATCAAATAGAGCATGAGGATACATACGTAAAAAAAATTATTTTAATAGCTGGCTCCAGAGTTTCTCTTGGAAGTTACTTTGTATAGGAAAATACTTTGGTAAACAGTTTAGGAATGGTAGGTAGCTATAAAGGCACAGATTAGGAGATAAAAATAAAAGTGTTGTATAAAGAGAGAAGAGAGGAGGGGACAGATGGGACCAGAGAGATAGTACGATAGTGAGAGGTTACAGGTAATGATGAAAAAATGGGGGTAGGGGGTAGGTGGATAAAAATATCACCGGAGGAACTGAAGGACTTTTAAGAGCAGGAATTTCTAATTTTAGGTTTTTTACATCCTTAATTTAAAACCACTCATCTGCTCCAAACCTTCCAAAGAGTTGGCTATAGAAACAACCAAAGAAAAGGCGTTGATTTCGACATTATGTCAGCAGGAGTAGAGAGAAAAGAGTTTTAAGAGGTGATATGTGGAGAAGTCTAAGTGTTCAGAAAAAGCAAGAACTGAGAGCCAGAAGTGACGGTGCAATTCTTGAGAGGGCATTGTCCGTGGGGAACAACAAAAGGTGGATAAGGGACTCAGTCAAGTTCAAGAAAATCTCTGTGGTACGATGACTCAGCTGGATTACAGGCACAGTGCCTTGTTATTTTCAACCATAATTTTTCAGGAGATATTCATTACCAGAAAACGACAAGGTCACGAATTCACTCCCCTTCCTCTTTTTTTCTATTAAATCTCTGGGCTTCAGTTTTCTCATCTATAAAATCTAGAGATTGGGATTCGAGTATCTCTGTGGTTTCTATTACAGTCTATAGCTCTAATAATAACACATTTTTATGTTCTGTTTTGAGGTAAATTTACATGCAGTGAAATGTACAAATCTTAAATGTTCCATTCCAAGAGTTCTGACAAACGCATATACTTCTGTAACCGAAACCCTTAGCTATAGAATTTTTTCATCACTACAAAAAATTCTCTCAGACTCCTCCCCGACGGCCAACCACTATTCTGACATTTATCACTATTGATTAAATAATTAATACTTAATAGCTATTGTTAAATGCTAAGCTTTGTTTTATAGAGCTTCATCAGTATTAATGCATGTATTTCTTACAAGAGTTGCAAGATGGATATCTCCATTTTTGCAGATCAAAGCGTTAAGAGGTGAGAAAGGCACCCCTGGTCATCAGCTATCAAGTACAGGGGCAGGACGTGAACTAAGAATTCGTTTTAGAAGCCCACGCTCTTAACCTGTTTATCCTAGAGTCTACAAACGATTGCCCAAGAAACAGCATAAATTCCAAATTCAGTCGAAAGCAATGCCATTTGCAAGTTCTAAAACCTCCTGAATAATCCTAAAGGCCATATGCATTCTATCTTATCGAAGGATTCCTTTCCATCCCACTCCCCAGAGAATGGAGAAAACGGGTGCGAAAGACTTCAATTCGCTTTGACTGCAGAAAAATACAGAGGTGGCGCAGGATCCACACATCCCATGGGGGCAGACCCAGCGGCGGAAGCCTGGACAGGCGGCGGGGGAAGGGCGCTGCGACGCCCCGGTGCCCCCTCCTTCGACGCCACTGGCATCCCCTCCGAAAACAGCAGGCTCGAAGGTGCCCCGCCACGGGGGCTGGACGCGGTGGAGGCGGGCTCATCAAGCACGACCAGAGCTCAGTCGGCCACACGTCCTCCTCAACGTCACCGTCTCCCTGCTCTCCCACCCCGCGCCGCTGCACCTCCCTCCCCCGGCAACCTGGGCTGGAGTCCCAAGCTCCGCCCCAGAGCGGACTCACAGTCCCCACGCTCCCTCCCGCGCTGCACCCACCGCGCGGCCGGGGCTGCCATGGCAACCCTACGCCGCCGCCGCCTCTTCACGCACGTCGCGAACTAACGGACTCTCGGCGGCGGCGGCGGCCGCGGCCTGCGCCCCACCCCCAACCCATCTGGACCGCATCGCCGGCTGTGCCCGGACCTGCGCCTTCTAGGTAATGAATCCGAGGGACAGGGGCTCGAGCGATACAGCAGGTGGTGCGGGGCTCTAGCCGATAGCCCCTCCCGGCCTCCCACCGCCGGAGACGCCAGGGCGGTGGGCTGCGGGGTTCCTCGGGCGCTGGCTCCCGTGCGGGGACGGGGAGGGGCGCGGGAGCGCCAGGCTCGCGGTGCATCATGGGGATTGTAGTTCAGTGACTCCTCGGGCTCGCGGCCTTGGCGGGGTAGCTCGGACTGGCGAACTACAAAGCCCGGCGGCCCCGACCGCCGGGAAAGACTGATAAACTTTGAGCGGACCGGGACAGAAAAAAAAAATCTCTCTTTGTCTTGAGAGGGCTGTTGGGTGGTCGCGGACCTGGGCTCTGTGCGTTGGGAAAGGGAAGTGGAGGTGAGCCTCGGGCTTCTAGCCCAGTCGCTGGGCCCGCCCCAGCTACAGCGCTCAGCCCCACCCCGGCTGGGCCACCGCCCTGCACAGTCTCAGGGATGAGCAGCCGCCCAAGCTGCAGGGCCTCGGGTCTTCGGCGCCTCTGACCCTGGCAGGTTGCTGCCTCTCGGTGCAGAACCGTATGTATGTCATACATTGGATGTGAGACCCGAGAAACCGTGTTTTAACAGGCTTTTCTCCTTTCCTGGATACGTTTATTTCTGGGTTAGTCATGTTTGTTTTAAAGTAGCTCAGAGGTATTTGCATATTAAACCCATCAATTGGTAATTACTCAAAGGGCCGTCATGTTTAAAGGTTAAGTGTGGAAATAGATAAAAAGATGTCATTGCTATTATATGGTGGGATCTGGCATTTTTGACTTTTAGCATTTTTGCATTTTATTTCTTGAGGTTCAAGGTTGTGAAATGGGTGCTCCACCCCACCCCCCACTTGCCAGCCTGAACACTGCCTACACATACTTTTTGATTAGTTCAGTTTTAAGTTACTAGTAACTTTTAAAAACATACTTTTTTTTAGCAGTAGGAAGCAATAATTATTTTCTTTGATTATTCCAGTGTTATTCAGAATTTGTCAGCATGTTTTCGGAAGGAAAAATACCATGTTTTAATTATTTAATTAATTACTTATATATTTTTTATGTTCAGGAGTACACTTGAGTAAGTTGACTCAAGACTTGGTGGTAAAGGAAGCTGACACAGATTTAGAAAACCTTCCTTGACGACCCTTTAAAATTTTTCAATAGGTAGATAACCATCCTAGAAATGTGCTGCTTTATGGAGTAAGTTGGAGGATTGTTGATATTATTTTGAGTTTGTGTGTGTGTGTGTGTGTGTGTGTTTAAAAACAAAAATACCACAAATCCTATAAAACTTTCTCTTAATTAAAATGAAGTTGACCTGTGTAAATTTTACTTGAGGTAGCAATTTTGTACAAGGAGGAGATGGAAAGTAGGTTTAGTAAGACAGGTAGAAAACAAAATTGAGGCCTTATGTGATACAATATAAGGTTTGAAGTAATTTATTCATTCAAAATTTGTTAAGAACCTATGTGCCAGGCATTATGCCAGGTGGTGAGAATAAAGAGAGTCTGTATCCTGCATGGGCAGTCATGTCATCCCAATAGCGTGGTAGAGATATGTGCGAGTAGCTATAGGAGCCCAGAGGAAATAATCACCTAACAGTAACATTTATTGAATATGTCAGGTGCTGTGCGGAGTATTTTGCATGCAGCTCCTTAGTAAATCCTCAAAACAGTTGGTGAAGTAGTTACTGATGTTTAGAGATGAGGAAGCAGGCTTTAGAGGCCCTGCACGAAATCATAGTTGGTCAAGTGTGAACCTGGGATTTCAGCCCAGGTGGGTCTGGTCATGATCTCAAGCGCTGACCGTTTTCTCTGTCAATTAGTAGAAAGATCCTGACTCTGTCTAAGGAAGTCAGGGGAGGCCTTTAGTATGATTTGACTTTTAACTTGTATTAAAATAGTTAAATAAGCTTTCACTGGAGTGATGAGGAGGAAAGTCATTCTAGGACAAATGGATGGCACAACACGAACAAAGGACAGATTGAAGAATGAATATTTTGTATTTGGGGAACGCTAGGTAGGTCTGAATGACCGGATCCCAGAATGCTCACCATTAGTGGGTGAGGCCAGATCTTAAAGTACTTGGCACCGTATTCAGAGTTTAGACTTTTTCTTGACATGGGGCAGCCATTGAAGAATTTTAGCTAGAGTGGTGGTGTCGTTAAGTTTGTATTTTAGAAAGATAATTCCAGCTCCAGTGTAGAGAATGGACCTGGGAGGGGAAAGATCATAGGCAGTAGAAAAGCCAGTTGTATAATAGAAAAAAACAAAGTCCAGTAGAGAAATAAAGAGAGTCTGAACTAAGCTGTTGGAGTTACAGAAAGACATGGATTCAGGGAATATTTAAGAGATAAAATTGGTATGACTTGATAGAGTTTGGATGTTGGGAGTTAGAGAGATTTGGAGCTCTCAGCTGATTGAGTCCTCAGTTTCTGGCTAGCACGACTGAGGTAATAGTGAACCCACTGATTGAGATGAGGAGGAGCTGGTTTTTTGTTAGGGTGAAAGAGATATTAGTTCATTTTTAAGCATTTGTTTGAGGTTCCTGTGGGATATTCAGGTGGAGATGCATTTGAGTCTGGAGTTCAGAGAGAGCAGGCTGGAGTTAGAAGTTTGCATACAGGTAAGTAGTTAAAGCTACAGGGGAGAATAGACCAGCTCACATTGGAGCAATGAGTAGAAAAGAAAAAGGAAGAGGTTTGGATATGGAACTGTCACTTAAGAGATGTGTGTAGGCCGGGCGCAGTGGCTTGCGCCTGTAATCCCGGCACATTGGAAGGCTGAGGCAGGCAGATCAGGAGATCAAGAGATTGAGACCATCCTGGCCAACATGGTGAAACCCCATTTCTACTAAAAATACAAAAATTAACTGGGCGTGGTGGTGCTCGCCTGTAGTCCCAGCTACTCAGGAGGCTGAGGCAGGAGAATTGCTTGAACCCAGGAGGCAGAGGTTGCAGTGAGCCAAGATCGTACCACTGCACTCCAGCCTGGAGGACAGAGCAAGATTCCGGGTCAGAAAAAAAAAAAAAAAACCAAACAAACAGAGTTGTGTGTATGTGTTTGCGGGAGGAGCCTACAAATGAGGCCCTGGTTAGGAGGCAGAGAGGAAGAAGAACTGGGAGAGAGCATAACAAAGGAGGGGACAAGAAGGAGAGCAAGTAAGTTGTCTAATTTTGTTTCTACAACTTACTTTCTGTATGATCATAGGCAGGTCTCCAAATCTGTACCCTTATTTCATATGAGGTGTTAATGCTATTTTATTTGATTTTGGGAAGTTGAAACAGTTTAGTGGAGGTAAACCCTAAAGTGCTCAACAACTCACAGCAGTTCTCCTTCTCCCGCTTCCTTACTAACAGTGTGGCTGGACTGCCAGTTCTGTCTGATAGAAAGCCCCTGTTCCGTGACTTTACCTGACCATAGTAAGCAGGTGGATCAGGTAGTAGTTATATTACAAAGTGATGATTTGAGTCTGAGGACTAATCATGTTTTTTTTAAATAAAGTTTCCTTTAATGCTATAAAATGTTATTGTATAGGGCATTAATACTAATGTGTTTTTGCCTTGTTTTCATCTTCAAAGAAACAGGAAGTTCCACTAGATAATTTGAGAGCCCAGTGGCTCTAAAATTCTTCAATTCTGACAGTATTTCATGTCTGGACTGATTTGTGATTTCACTGATAGTTGAACATCTGTAAATGAAAATATGTTTATATTTTAATGTGCTCAAGAGTATTTTATTTTATTTTATTTTTAGAGACAGGGTCTGACTCTGTCACCTAGGCTGGAGCGCAATGGTGCAGTCATAGCTCACGGCAGCCTTGAACTCCTGGGCTCAAGCAGCCTTCCTGTCTCAGCCTCCCCAGTGGCTGGGATTTCAGGCATGTGCCCACACCCGGCTCAACATTATTTTAAACGTTTTTCTCTTCAGTGATAACTATACTTATATATGGTAGTCCCAGGAAAATTGTGCCTTAGAATACCTGATAAAAGTGAGATATCGGCATTTGCCAGATAAACTCAAGGCATAGATTATGAGAGTAGTTTCAAAAAAAAATGAAATAGTTTTTCAAGGTGGTCTAATCTTCACCGGATGTCTTTAGATATGTTTCTCTTGCTGGGGTATGGTTTGATTGTGGTCCTAATTGAATGGAGGGCAAAGGAGTAAATGACCTTTTAAGTCCTTTTGTAACTTTGTTCTGTCCATTAGTAATTGTAAAAGCTCCTATTAAGCAGTCTATTAAAAAGTGAGCTTTGGTGTGAAATTTTATTCTTTTTAATATTTTGCTATGAAGCTGTTTTTGGTAAACATTTTTTATAGTTTTTAATCATGTCTGAGTATTGTTTTGCATTTTGTGAAGAAGTTAATGCTTAGTTGCTGACCCCCAATTGTATTTACTTCACAGGGTATTATAGAACTCTTTAGAATGGTGATTTTATGGACATTTATCAAACACATGTGTCTTGCTTTTCAGTTCAAGAAACATTATTGCGTGTCTTTATGTCAAACAGTGCACCGAGTGATACACGATACATGACTAAGATCTGGCCCCTCTCTCAAAGGATGTTACATTTCAATCAGTGCTCAGACTAGTTTTGGTATACTCACTCTTGTGTTTTTTAAGGAAATCGTCTCCAAAACATAATGTATTTTATTTCTTATTTTCTTAACTTTTATGTGTTTGAGGGACAAACGATATAACTTCATTTGCTGTATTTCAATAACTTGTTCCTTTATTCTCGTTTATTCCTATGTCTCTATGAGTGTCTTTATATGTTAGTATTCTTTTCTTTGTGATGTTTTCCTCTTTCCGTTTTTCCTGGTGATTTTGGCAGTAGGAAGAGAAATGAATGAGAGAGAGAATCAGTAGTGACTGTTTTTTTTTTTTTTTCTTACCTACTTATGTGAGAATATGGATGACTGGCATTTAAAACATAATTCCTGGTATTTTTATACTAGTATTTTCTCTGCATT